TCGTTGAAGAGATTTAGAAGAAATTTGGCAATTTTTTCGTTTTTTTATCAAAATTTTTTGAAGTCCAAGAAAGAAGACAATCATGGTTTTATATTATGTTTTGCGATGAAAGTTTTCACCGTAATCACTACAAAAAAAAGACATTTACAACGAGCAAATCTGTTGAAGATAACCAAATTTTTGTTGGAAATAATCAATTTTCCAACGGAAGGGTCCGTTGGAATTAGATCGTTGGAAATTGGTATCCATTGAACAACCGTTGGAATTTTCAATGGCATTTTGACGGATTTTTCCGTTGAAAATTTTCAACGGATTTTCCAACCGTAATCCGTTGGAATTTTTCAATGGATTTTTCAACCGCAATCCGATCCGTTTTAATTTTTTAACGAAAAACTCAAAATATATTCTGGATCCCGACCCCGACCCTAGCCACCGGCTCCGACCCTAGCCACCGACCCCGACACTAGCCATCAATCCCGACTCTATATCGAACCCGAAACTCACTTCCTAATATATCACCCATCATCTCCACTACTCCAGCACAATCTCCTTAACTTTAGAATTTCAATTGATAATCATCTAACTGCTCCATGTTAAATTTCTGATATCATATAACATTAATATATATATACATATATAAATATTTATATATTTATATATATACATACACATATATACATATATATATATATTTACATGTATGAATATTTATACTTATATATGTATAAATATATATATATATATATAAATATATATACATGTATGAATATTTATACACATATATATTATATATATATACACATTCAAATTCATATATATATATATATATATGCATAACATATATATGTAGTATAGATATATAATATATACATATTAAGAGTGGACGTTTCGGTTCCTATCGAACCGAAAATTTCGGTATTTTTTTCGAATCATACTATTCAAAAACCGTTGCTGAACACTTTCAACATTATATACACACACACACACACGAAGTTAAGGATTATACACCGTCCAAAAATATTTATTTTCTGTATCATTGTTTTCCAGTAAAATACATTTCAACGTTAAACAGACTAAACGATGGTTTAGATATCATCGCTTTTTGGGAAATAAAGAGGAAAAAAAACGTAAAATCACAAAATCCAGGCGCCTTCATAAACAGCATCCCATCTACACAACCCTCCCTTGCAACTTATTACAATAATTTCAAATAACCACTGCAATTATCACAAATTAACCCGACTTAATTTGTTTATGTTTCAGCAACTATATATATGATTTATGTTTTCCGTCATTCACTACCATTTGACGTGTGCCACAATGGGTCGGATAACGATGACGTCGTCTTCCCAAAGGCTAAGTTCCACAGCTCCATATCCGGTGCGAAATCCTGCTTCAGATCTGCTTGGTACAAACCGAGCTGGTTCAGACCGTGGAACGAAGTGGGCAAGGCGAGATCATTGTCGGAGTGGCTCTCATCGACTGTCGGGTAGGAGGTGGGCCCGTTGAGCTGCGAGGCCACGAACCGGTCTAAGGCTTCCCATCTGACGTGGCAGCTGTTGACTGGTCCATCGTGATAACTGCTCGTTGCATCACTAGGGCTCTCGAGGGTGAGGTGTTTCCTGAAAGGGTCTATATTTAGCTCTTCCTGACCAGATCGCCCCATAGTTTCGGGAAATCGCTCGATGGTCTCTTTGTTGAACATCTGTGACGACGTTGTCTCTCCGCCGGTTAGGGTTTTACGAAGATTCTTCTTCTTGAAAGTACGACAAACCACCCACCCTTCTTCCACTGATGTTTCCCCTGTAATATTCGCAACCTATTTACAGAAACACGTAGCCGCAATAATCAGTGTATATATATATATACACACATACATGTATATGTATATATACATATTCTATGCCGTCATGCACATTGTTTGGACATATTCTATCGCTGAACCCGATACCACTTACGGATATGACTCTCACACTTTCATGCGTCACGTGTGAGAAAATATTGTCACCTACGATGAAGCATACAAACCAATATACTGTATAGAACTGTGACAAATAACAAATGAGAGCATCCATAAATACGAAGAAACTTACGCTGGTGTCATCGGAGGAGATATTATCGTCGAGTCGGTATTCATGCATGATCCAATCGGATCTCTGGCCGTGGGGGGCTCTTCCTTTGTAGAAAACCAGAGTCTTCCTCATTCCGATCCTTTGGCCATTGCTGTGAATGATCTTGTCGCGGCCTGTGGCCTTCCAGAAGCCGGCCGTGGTGGCTCGGTTCGTCCTCATCCCCGACGGGTACTTCTTGTCTTTGTGACTGAAGAAGTACCAGTCGTTCTGAGGCGCCGTCCCTATTTTACACATCTCTGCATAAGGACAACAATATTATCATCCATACCACGCTTTCATGCATCTATAAACCTTCTTCTTCATCTCTCCAACTTATTCTCATTACTTGAAGAAAGGAATCCACGAGAGGAACATAGAGGAACCTTGAATATCCCAAGGCTCGAGCTTGTTGAGATCAACGTCACGAATAACATCGAGATCGATCTTGACGCTAGAAACCTTCTTCCTGAGGTAATACTGCAAGAGCTCTTCCTCGGTCGGATGGAATCTGAACCCCGGAGGCACCTGAGATTGCCCGTTTACGGATATGTTCATAGTTTCCGACAGCTTTCAAGATCTTAACTAAGAAGAGACAAAACAAGAAGTAATAGCTAACAAACTGAAAGTTGGTTTGTTGTACGAAGAAGACGAGGGCAGAGGGTGAGTTTATATATATATATATGTGTGTGTGTGTGTGTGTGTATGGCCAGCAATGATATATGCATGAGGAAAACGCATCTGTCTTCCTCCTAACGTTACCTTCTGGTATCAGTCTATGTTTACATTTTGCCGCTACATAAAAAACACGTGTTTGGACTTTGGAGGGGGGTCTCACTTGTCTAATCCTATGCATGTATACATACATTCATCATTGACGTATCTCTGTATAGTTAACCCAACCCACTGAATTGAAAATTTTATCATATGATCAAAATACTAATCGGGGGAATAACTTTGATTTATGTGTGAAAATAATACAAAAGTTTGTAATTATTTTGTCCTGGTTCGTGTTATATTTTTGCCGTGAATCTATTTTGGTGGGTGCGATTAATTAATTCGGTTGGATTATTAATTTTATTTGCCATTCTAATTTCTAAATGTTATTCCGAAATTTCTCCAGCTGGAAAAAGATTTACTTCAGGGGAAAGGCCGAATAAAAAGATGTAGGTGGGACCAAGCCACGTAGGGCCCAGTGGGCACCTAGATTGTTGGAACGAAGCCCACATCGTAACTATGACCTTCGACCTTAAAACAGAAAAACACCCTTTAAACAAATTAACAATCCATCATACATACATAAACGTATAAATATGTTGCATGTGTACAATAACTATCTTTTACGTGACATTGTAATTATATTTCATTCTCTAGCGTCATTTGGCATAGAAATCATGCGACTTACTACTTTTCTTATAACGCTTATTAATTTTGGCAATCTATTGTTAATATTCTTCAAAAACGTTTATAAATTTCTTTTATTTATCACATCGCATGTGCTATATATACATCGGTAAGGAGTAATGATGAATACGACTATAGACGCAAACTTGGGTAAAGGTACGGAGATAATAGTAATCCTCTAGAAGATGGAACTTTTTTTTTTGGGTGATTGATGGAACATTTTTTTATTAATATTTTTGTCTCTGTAATAGAAAATGTGATCAAATTATGAAATAATAAATGTGCATCCTGTCCCATCTGAGAAAAGGTTAAGTCGATGGTCGGATTTGACATTTGAGTTGTTCATAATTTTTTGGTAATTATCTGTTTTAGGGTTTTTTTTTTTTGTAAAATTACTTTGGACTTTTCCTTCTGGAAAATGCCAGATTGTCTGAAATCTCATTGGTCGGGTTTTATTTACGCACCCGTTTTCATCTCTGTACTCTGTCTGTACCCCATGTTTTGTCCTTTTCCTGTTAACCCAGTTTTTCTTTCAACCTCTTTTGTGATGGTTGGTACCTAATGGACTTTCGATTTTTTTTTTCTTTTATATATTCCAAAAAAAAACCCTATTTTGTTGGATACTTGATTTCAATAATTTAAGCGATGTATGTATGTATCTATGTATGTATGTATGTATGTATGTATGTAAACAAACATACACACTTTAGGATCACATATAACTCAGAACATCTTTCGTGAGGAGGGCAAGTGCGCAAGATTTAGTTGAGTGAATGAAGTGAATATTATGTAATATATATATATATATATATATATATATATATATATATATACGTACATATACACCCAAACACACGTTTACAAATAATTCTATTCACTTTTAACTTGAACAAAATTAACGCAACTAGTCTTGTGTCATGATTGAGACAATCTTCTAATGAGAAATTATTTTTTGTTAATGTGGTCCTCAATATTCTCGACGTATTAAAAAAGATATCGTCTTATAAGGGGAAAAAGCATACAGATTCATCGACCTTTCTATGGCATATTGTTTTTTTTTTCTTTCTAAATATGAATTCCATTCGAATTTGTTGGTCGATGCTGTCGTAGGGACGCCCGATTCCTATCAATATTTGATTTTTAATAAAATTTCGGTCGTCTAACGTTTGCGCATTTCCGCACAAAGTTATGTCTTGGCGAATTATAATTATATATCTGCATGCATGAAACAAGAGTAGTAAGGCTTTTCCAGTTTATATAATTGGATAATTTTTATATCTTTAATTTTGTCACCTAACCATTAATAATATACATTTTAAATAATGCGATAATTCATAATTATAATCAAAATATAGAAAATAGATGAAAGCAATTGCTTAAAATAAAAATAATAACATTTATATATCTTTAATTTTGCTTCTCTATATATATATATATAATGTTTTTTCAAAAAAATGAGAGAATTTATTTTTTTAAAAATAAAATAATAACCCTTACATGTACTGGGCCGTTGGTAAAAAAAACAACAAATGATGGGCCTATTAATATTGCCTTGTTAAAATTTACGAAGCCTATTTTCATTTTACAAACCAATATCAGGCCCATTAAAACTTTCGAAATCCTGTTCTCTCTTTTTTTTCCCTCCCTTTTAAGAACTTGTAACATAGTATTAGAAACATATAAAAAAGAGTAATGCATGTGTAGGGGAAATTGCCAAAGCTTCTCAGGTTGGAAAGAAGGGGAATTCTCTGGGTCAAAGAGAGGGTTCGAATATGAACACGAGGCGGTAAAATATTGCAGCAGAGTGAAACGCATCGCATCACCAAAACGTAAATTGATGAGTCTGAGTTCCTTAAGTCATCGCATCACCAAGGGGTCAGGAAGGGTTTTTACGCACCAAGGTACAGCTTCACTCTATGGCAAATCTTCTTGAGGCGTCTTCCGACGAGGGACGGGACACTAACTGTGTCTAGTGCCAAGCCCACGAAGAATCCCATGCTCATCTTGCAGTTTCTCATCACTCATCTGGCGTCGTTTTGCGGGTGCTTGTCGGCCCTCACCACCAGCATGTGCGCATGATTGCATTCAATTGTATGAAAAGATGTCCACCAACACAACAAGGAGCATATCAATGCTATTTAGGTTTGTAAATCAAACTATATGTACTTATATTAGCATACATATAAATTCACCCTTAAATTGCCATCAACTCTAGGACTTCTTCGCGTCTTCCCTCCCATCCGCATTCGAACAGGCTCGAACATTAAAATTTTAAACCCTAAACCCTAAACCTTAGACCCAGATAAGTTTAGTCGTTAACATGTAAATTCCAAAACTGAAGTATTAAAATAAACATTGAAAACGGACGGTATCAAAGCCCACATTCCTTGCATGCAGGGTCGGCCCAAACTTCATGTAAAAGCGTTATTCTCTTTCTTTTCAATTTTATTTATTTGTTATGGAGCCAACGCTGATTTGAAATGGGTAATATGAGATCACGGAAAATGTGAATGGGTTAAATCCCTCCTTTGTATTAAATTTTTTTTCTAAAGATATTATTCTTTATTTCATATATTACAGCTAAATAACAACTGTGATTTTATCTCCACATTAAATTAATTATTTTTCTCGGTCCTTCGATTGATTTGTACGTATAGATAGTGGACTATTTTAAATCTTTACGCCACCATCAAATTCGTGGACCGTTTTTATTCGCAATTCATAAAATAATAATAATCGTCACGTCACGCTTTTTCCTCTTCAAGCAAAAACCATCCAATTCGAATGAAACAACACAAAACTGCTTTAACCCAAAGTCTGAAACATCGGGCGTCCACGTGTCACCCCTTACGACCACGAGATCTTGGTTGCTTACGTGGACAAAGATTTCCATGACCGGAAGTGCTAACAGCTCGCCACGTGCCATGTGGACCTCCCTCAGAGGATCACCATGTTCACATGGAATATCAAAAACAGTGGCCTAAGTTCTGCCACGGCAGCCCCGCCCATGGATGCCCAATGGCGGCCCACCTTTTGATTCACCATTAGTTTTTATTTCTGAGCATTCTCCCTCACTAAAACCTCAGATATTTTCTGCCCTTCTCCCTCTTCTCCTCTTACTTGATCGGAATCACTTCTTTCCGGTGGAAAGTTTTTGAATTTGTTCTTCTTTGTTTCTGGGTTCTTCGAAAGATTAGGAATTTTCTCCGTTTCTAAATTCGATGGTTGAGGTGGTGGTTGTGAGCAGCGACGACGGCATGGAGGCGGAGGAGGAGAGAAAGGAGATCGACGGCGAAGGACCGTCATCGAAAGTTTCCCGGTGGGAGAAACATCTACCGAAAACGGTGCTTAGGGTTTTGCTCGTCGAGGCCGATGACTCCACTCGGCATATCATCACCGCTCTCCTCCGCAAATGCAGTTACAGAGGTCGATCTCTCCTCAGTTTTCTTGTCCTTAGGTTTATTTCCCCTTCATTTCTTTGCCCAATCTCATCATAGTTGGTTTGTTTGATGTTTCTTCTTATGTATGCATGTTCTTTCTTCTGTGCTGAGGTTCTGGATATTTCAGATGCTGGTTTGGTTTGGTTTGGCTATGTAGATCTTGGAAATTACGACCCGGCTGTTAGCCTCTTATATTGCAGCTGTATAGACAGATCATCTGAATTTGTGTGGTGTGCCAACAAGTTGGAATTCATAATGATGAATGAAGTTTCTGTTCTCCTTGTGTTACAATTTGTGTGAACTTAATGCAAATTGTACAGTGGCTGCGGTTGCGGATGGTTTGATGGCGTGGGAGACTCTGAAAGGGAAGCCACAGAACATAGACATTGTACTAACCGAGCTGGATTTGCCATCAATATCTGGTTTCGCCCTTCTTACGTTGGTGATGGAACATGAAACCTGCAAGAACATCCCTGTCATAAGTACGTTTTACTTTACATTTTTATGTCTTTCTTGGATTTGAGTTTGTGTCATGCAAGCTAAATGGGTTTTTCTTTTTGGACAAAACTCAAAGTGATGTCTTCGCAAGATTCATTCAGTATGGTCTTGAAGTGCATGTTGAGAGGTGCAGCTGATTATCTCATCAAACCTGTCAGGAAGAATGAGCTGAGGAATCTGTGGCAGCATGTCTGGAGAAGGCAGACAGTGAGTCACATTCTTTCGGTTCTTGGTGTTATGATTTCGATATTATGTTACCTTCTTGTGATGAATGTGAAGAGATTTCTTCTATGTGCTTATGAATCAGTTGCAGGCTGGGTATGTTCATCACAGCTTACCAGCTTCACAGTCTAAGCTTGAAGCTACGGCTGAGAACAGCACAGATTCCAGAGATTATTTAGTTTCTACTCACAAAAATGCGAATAGAAAGGGAAATGATTCTGGGGTAAGTTAATTTGCTCCTTTTCTTTTCCAGATTGGTGTTAGGGTTTGGGCTTCACGAGGTTTTACATAGGGACTGCATTTGTTTTTGCCATTTTTGCAGAGCTCTTGTTCATCCCAATTCAAGGGAGATGAAAGTGAGTACCTGTCAAATATGCAGGGTACCTCGAGGGCGAAGCAAGCAAATGGCAGCATCGGTCTTGGCTTTCCATCTAAGCTAATGGAGAATGCAGAATCAGTGAAACAATCAGCTATACATTTGGGTCGAAGAGAAGGTAGTAGTTCCTGCTGCCCCTTGTTTTACTTAGACTGTAGAGATGTATGTCAATGCATGTACAAACCCTTGATGAGCTACTAGTTTCAGAAAAGCTTGACGGGCCGGGAAATGGAGGTGGAAATGTGCCATTGGATGAAGGATTCGGGTTCAAAGATCTTGGCAGACATACAGATAACTATGTTGGTAACCATAGCTCGAGGGAGGAGAAGCTCGAATACTCTAATATGACGATTGATTTGATCGGTGTGTTTGATGAGCAGCCAAAGTGTCTTCACGGAGAGAATTGTTCTACTGAGCAATTCGGTCCAGAACTCGAACTTTCTCTGAAAAGATTCTGCCCCAGAAGCTCCAAGAACCAAGATGAAATTGAAGGACAGAAGCTTTGCCACTCCAATAACTCGGCTTTCTCACGGTGTGTTTTCTGTCATGGAGACCATATCTCAATTGGCATAAACTTCGGAATTTCTAATGTAATCTCATTCCCCATTTGTAGATATGACAATGGCAGCTCATCGGAGTCCAAGACATCAACCGAATCACATGGACAGTTCAGAAAGGTGAGCTCTGATATGCGAAGCATCACAAGCAACCAAGAGAACATTGAGTCATATCAAAGTGGGCAATATGGACAAGCTGAGTTCAGCTATCGAAACCAAGTTCCCCGATCTATCCGGATCACCCATCAAGCAAAAGAGCTACAAGATTCTTGCTTTCCTGCAAACACCTTGGTGGGTGACTCTGATATCCGAAAATCCCAGGAGGCAATGAGCTGTTCAGGAGAACAGGAACGTGTGAAAACTAGTCAGGAACTCGAACTTGGTTGTCAGAGTACCTGCACAAATAACTCTTGCGATGACAGCATTACTGGCCAAAGTAACAGTACAGAGAAGTCTAAGGAAGAACAGCTTGTCCATGTTGCTTCTCAAGATAGGCACAGAGAGACATCGAACCCGCAACATTTGAGTCAAAGAGAAGCTGCTCTGACAAAGTTCCGGATGAAGAGGAAAGATCGATGCTTTGAGAAAAAGGTAAGGTCCCCAATGCATATCTGAGATAAGAAAAACATGTGTACACAATCAAGAGGAATAAGCATTTGGATCAATCAATGTTGATGGGACATGTCTTTGCAGGTTCGATATCAGAGCAGGAAGAAACTAGCAGAGCAACGTCCACGGGTGAGAGGGCAGTTCGTCCGTTCCGTAAACTATGAGATTTCAACACCTGATGTCTCCAATGGAGCCTGAATTCCCATTCCAAGTTGCCAATCTTTTTCACTGCATAATAGACGTTGTGTTTTGTTATATATAGAGTTAGGCTCAAAACATAACCATAGATCTGTCTCTACTTTCTCGTTTCTCTCTTCTGTTTGCGACATAGAAGCTTTTGCTCTGCCGAGGAAAGATCAAGAACAGAACTGCCACGGAACAGAACATGTAGCGTCATAGAAACAGAATTCTAGCAAGTAGAAAGGCATGTGTGTCCTGAGAGCGCTTGTGAGTGACAAAAGCAACCCATATGAGCACACACAAGTGAAACAAACTCAAACCCTTTGTAAGTTAGTTTTGTTGATAAGATTTCTAAAGGCATCAGCTAAAGTATGCAAACTTTGCAAAGACTGCTCCTTTTTTGGAATAACTGTGGTTATTTACTGCGGTAGTGTGAAGAATATTGTCGCAGTTACAGACAAAGAATCTTGCTTTTTTTTGTGTGTGTGTTTTTTAATGAGAAAAGGGCACGTGAGGAAACTGAGGCCACAAGCAAAGACACAAAGGATAAGATGTTTTAGATCTTCTGTCTGGATTCAGGGTTGTAGTAACTCAGCAAAAAAAAAGCGTTATCTAAGCCTACAATAACTGTTTATAGGACATATACAGAGAGACTGGATAAGCTCTATCTACCAGCATCTGAGAGCTTCGAAACCAAATATAACCTGCAGATTACAAAAACCATGAGAGTATTCAAAACTTGTATACTCTATGAATGCCATTGGGCGAGAAAGGTTGACCCTTTTTGGAGGCAATGAAGAAGAACAACACAAATGATTGAATGGGTAAGCGGAAGATGAGAGATCATGAGAAAGGTGACACAATCCACGGAAGCTCTTTGCATACAGCATGTTCGTTTTCCCCACTTCTTCTGTGTAAGAAGCTCAAGTCCCCACAACTGCTTGTCCTCGCTGCCGGACAAAACTTCCATCGCCAATAATGTCTCTGGGGACCTTTGTCTTTGTCAGAAGCCATCTCTCTCTCTCTCTCTCTCTCTCTCTCTCTCTCTCTCTCCTATGCTCTGCTTCAGCTTCACCAACTCCTCAGACAGATACATCTGGTGTCATTTATTTAGTTTTACCTCTTTGTTTTAGCAGCCTTCACCTTCTCTTTCACACCTCATTTTTCACTTTCCGTTTTCTTCCAAGGCCTGCATCTTTGGTTACCACACCACAAAATCAAAACAACCCTACTTCTGTATTTCATTGCATTTAAGACCATTGTTCTATATAAGGGTAACACAACCAAGTTCAGAATTCTCAGAACCAGAAGAGAGTGCATGCTGGGTTTCCTGTTCTGCTTCTTTGGTGCTTTGCATTTATCACCACCCTTGAATTTCTAGCCTCCCCAACAATGTATTCTCGTAAGCCCTAGAGAGAGAGAAAGAGAGAGAGATGGATGCACATTAGGTATGAAACAAGATTTTTCACCTTGCAATGGAGAGCCTTCAAGGACACATCGATCCCTGTGTATGTATCCTTGCTTAATTTAGGAAGCTTTCCTCTCTTGTTCTATCTTCTTTTGCCCCCTTGAACCATTTTCTCTAGGAGCAAGATGTCGACTTGCATTTACTCCTATAAATCCAGATTCCCCACATTCAATGCGATGTCTTTCTTTTACACAAAGCACTAACAAATCTGCTGTCACCTGTTTCCCTCTCTTCGGAACATTCCTTCTCTCGTTCTACTTTTGTTCTCTTCTCTATCTGTGGACTGACCCACCAACCAAACCAACAGTAGAACTCACTTCATTTTTTAAAAATTTCCAATCTTTTACTCAGATCCGACTTCTGGGTTTCTCTTTCTTTTGTCTTGTTGCAGCCCTTGGTTGGAAACCTAGAAGTTGAAGGATTTGCAGAGGAAGAGGACAAAGTTCGGCAGCTCGCTACACCAAGCTTGCAAGATACAGTTCCATTTCTACAGATGCTACAAAATGGAGATCCCTCGCCATTTTTGTCCTTCAGAGAACCAAATTTTCTAGCAGTATTGTCTCTCCAGACCCTCAAGAAGCCATGGGAACTTGAAAGCTCCTTCACGCATGAGGTTCCTGACTTTCATTCATCGATCCGGTCCGAGACCAACAGCTTCTATCAGAACCCAACTCCAATCTCTTGCATGGAAGAATTCAATCCAGCTGTCTCAAGCCAAGAACTTCCCTTTAACGCACTAGAGAACCTGCTTAGCTCAGCAAACACAGTCACTTCTTCCCCGCCACCACGCACTGGTAATTGGAGAACAAAACGCAAAACCAGCCACTTGCCTCCATCAATGACTCGAGAACCGAGAAAGCGAAGGAGAGCTAAACCAACAAAGAACATGGAAGATACAGAGAACCAGAGAATGACCCACATTGCCGTTGAACGAAACCGGCGGCGTCAAATGAACGACTACCTCAACTCCCTCCGCTTCCTCATGCCGCCTTCCTACATCCAAAGGGTAAGGCAAAAAAAACAACAACTCTTGACATTGTCGCAACTCGAACACTAACACTGCAGTAAAGCTCCGTCCTTTATATCGATTATCCCCCTGCTCTGCTGCAGGGAGACCAAGCGTCCATAGTAGGAGGAGCAATAGACTTCGTGAAGGTTCTCGAGCAACTCTTGCAATCCCTTGAATTGCAAAAGAGAGTGCAAAAGAGTGGCGAGGAAGAAGAAAGCAGGGATGCGAATTCGGGGAATAAACATCTGACGGGCATTTCACCGAACGAGTTGTGGACGACTAACGAAGATGAAATTTCGACCCCCAAAATCGAGGCGGCAGTGATAGAGAACCACATCAAACTCAGAGTTGAATGCCCGAAGAAACGAGGGCAGCTTCTGAAAGCAATCGCTTCGCTGGAGGACCTTCGACTCTCTGTTCTTCATCTCAACGTGGCTTCTTCGCACGCATCTGTGTTCTATTCCTTTAACCTAAAGGTACTTCCGATCTTGTTCATTCCCAAAAAAAAAGGGAACCCATCTTTCAAAAACATCAGCGAGAGGGCTCAATCGTGTTTTGCAGATGGAAGACAACTGCATCCTGGGTTCGGCCGACGAGATAGAGACGGCGGTGCATCAGATTTTCGACCAAACCGACGGCCGACAATTAGAGTGACACATAAACCCATGAAATTAACAGCTGACAGAATGGAAACTGGGGTTTCTAGAAGTAAAAAAAAAAAAAGGACAGAATCGCTGTAGTTTTCCTACGTTTTCCGACTGATCATATCTGTTTTTTTGTCACGGTTTCTGGGCCCCACTTGATTATCCATGCTTTGTTCTTCGCTTGTCTTGTGTTTTCTGCCAGAATTTTCGGGTTTGACTTTTGTTAGCATACCTTGATTACAATTCTCATATAATTTATGATTACATTTCAAATCTTATTTTGACGCCTATCTTATCATTCTAACGAATACTTTCCATATCATCATTTATGATGCGTTAACCAAGATTAAAACTATGGAGAAACCATGTTATAACATGATAAAAGAAGGAAAAATCATAAAAATATTCCCCAACTGAATCCTTACGTTATGGGCCTTATATGGGTGCAGAAAGCCCACGGCCGTCTTATTCCCCAATTAATCATAATAAGCGAAAAGGGCCTTCCACTCTATCCAAGTAGAAACTCCCGATTTACCCTGCGATGCGCCACGTCAGCACTATCCTGAAACCTCAAACGAGTGGTCGTCTCTCGTCTCTCCCCGGTCACAACTTCTCCACTTCAAAATTATCGTAGGGTTATCAGATTGCTCAAAACCACCATTAAATCTTTTTTTTTTCTTAAATTTCTCGTATCTTCTTATGTTCGAATTACTTTCTTCAATCTGTCTGTTTTGGTGATTTTCGAGGCATTAAGCTCGAGCGTCAGCCATGGCCTCCTCTTCATCCACTACCCTTTCCATTTCTTCCTCGTCCGCCATCGTCGATTCCAGGGCTCCGCCGCGGCAT